GGACCCGCGAGGCTGCGGCACCCACCGGGTGTGCGCACACACATGCACACACCGCAAACTGCACGCCCGGGGTTGTGAGCACAGCCTGCGGCCCCGCACACACACGCAGGGCACGCGGGGGGCACGGGCACACACCCCCCTCGCACACACACACACACACACACACAGCACCCCCGATCCCCACACACACACACACAGAGCATGCAAACAGCCTGCAACACCCCCACACGTACACACACGCGGCACAGTCTGCAAATTTGTGTGCGCACCCGCCCGTACAGCCTGCAAACCCACGGACCTGCACACAGAGCCCCCCGCCCGCAAACGCAGCCTGCAAACCCCCACAGCGTGCAAACACAGACACGCGCAGCGCACGCAAACACAGCCTGCAAGCCTCAGCGCGCACGCAAACGCGCACCCCTTGCAAGCCCTTGCACACACATCCCCAGAGCTTGCAAACCCCCAAACTCCCGCACGCGCACACTCAAAGCTTGCAAACGGGCTGCAAACCCGCACGCCCTGTGGGGCGCACACAGCTTGCAGCCCCGCAAACTTACACACGCGCACGCGCGCATGTGCACACCCCCCGTGCAAACACAGCCTGCGGCCACCTGCGAACACACCTCTTGCCCAAACACAGCTCGCAGGTACAGCTCACGTGCACGCAGCGCACACAAACACGGCATGCACACGCACACGCGCCAGCGTGCACACACGGTGCCCCTGCGCGCTGTCACCCATCCCCAGCACCCCATGGGGATCACACACAGAGTCACCAGCTGCTGCCTACAACCCCCAAACACTGTCACAACCTGCCAACAGCCTCTTCATCCCTCTGCAGAGCACATGCATGGCGACAGACACCGACACACGCACGCACACGCAGCACCCGGTGTCCGGCTGCGCCGCGCTGGCATCCCCAGTCAGGGTCCGTCCCCCCACCCTCAAAGCAGAGGCGTGCAGCGGGTGGTGGCGTGGTGGGTCCCCATCCCGCCAGCCCCCAGGCAGCACCCCGGGGCTCCTGCTGCCCCACCGAGGGCAGTGCCGGGGTGGAAAGTCCCTCCGCAGGTCCCCAAGGCCAGCGGGGATGTGGGGAGGGTGCCGAGGGGAGCAGGCACTGCCAGCAGGCAGCTCTGCCCACCCTCTGCCTGCAGACCCCAAAAGCTCCCTCTGCCCACCCTGGAAGGTGTTTGGGGCTGGAGATGCAGAGAGTGCGTCCTACAGCCCAAGGGACCGTCCCGTCCCTCGTGCCTGAGCGGTGGGGACCCTGCGCACGGCGTCCCCAACCGCGTCCCTCTCTGCCCACGCAGGTGGCCCTGGTCGGCGAGCCCGGACGGCAGTGGATGAGAGCTGGGCGCTGGCCTAGCCACACGCGCACACCGGCACCATGGACTTCGTCATGAAGCAAGCGCTGGGCGGTGAGTGGGTGCTGTCCCCGCACAGGGTCCCCTTTCCGGGAGCGATGCCGGCCTGGCACCCCGGGGAGCACAGCGGGAGGGACATGGCGGGGGCACAGAGCCGTGGGGAGAGCTGCCGGCAGTGGGGAGCTGCTGCTGGAGCCCTCCGGGGCTCCCATTCCCAGCACCGGCAGCGCCTGGCTGGGGAATCCCTGCTCTCCCGCCGCTAAGTGGGATTCCCCAGCGGGTCCCCTGGGTGCCAGCGCCGAAGGAGCTGACGCCAAACTAGGGCAGCGCAGCCAGCCCGCGGCACTCCACATCCCCGGAGCCTGTCTGCAGCCGGCTTTGGTGCGGGTGGTCCTGGGGACATCCCGGGTCGTCCTTGCCGGGGGGCTCCATGCCCTCCCTGCCTCTGCGGGGGCTTCGGCAGCCAGCGCCAGGCTGCAGCGCCCTTGGGGACCGGCTGATGGTCTTGTGCTGTGCAGGGGCCACCAAGGACATGGGGAAGATGCTGGGGGGCGAGGAGGAGAAGGACCCCGACGCGCAGAAGAAGGAGGAGGAGAGGCAGGAGGCCCTGCGCCAGCAGGAGGAGGAGCGGAAAGCCAAGCACGCCCGCATGGAAGCCGAGCGGGAGAAAGTCCGGCAGCAGATCCGTGACAAGGTGGGCACACGCCTCCCCTGCGCCCACCCCTGCCCGCGGCACCCGGGGGGTGGACATGGCCGGGGAGGAGGGTGGCCCGAGGCGGCGGTGATGGGCACGGGGCACAGCGCGAGCAGCACCCGCTGCCTGCCCTGCTGAGGGCCTGCGTCCTCGCAGTACGGGCTGAAGAAGAAGGAGGAGAAGGAGGCGGAGGAGAAAGCCGCGCTGGAGCAGCCGTGTGAGGGCAGCCTGACGCGCCCCAAGAAAGCGATCCCGGCGGGCTGCGGGGACGAGGAGGAGGAGGAGGAGGAGAGCATCCTGGACACCGTCCTCAAGTACCTGCCCGGCCCGCTGCAGGATATGTTCAAGAAGTAACAGCACCGCCAACCCTGCCATGGGGTGCTGGGGCATGGGCGCCCTCTCCCCTCCCACCCCTCCATCAGTTCCCCCCCTGGCCCCGGGGGTGTCCCCGCACCCCCTCCCGCCCTTTCCCCCACCCAGACCAAAAACCCGCCCCGTCCCGTCCAGGCAGGGCCCCCCTACCACGCCGTGCCAAAGGGGAGCGGCCCTGGCTGGACAGGGCGAACCGGGACCAAATGCACTGATGTAACCTCGCGGCAGGCTGGGGGCACCCCAGGCCCTGCCGGCCCCCCCGGGGTGGCTCCCTGTGCCCCCTGCCCTGCCCCTCCTGCCCTCCCAGGGGACCCTGGCAGGCCTCCGCTCGCCTGCCCTCGTCCCCAGCACTGCCATCCCCCTGCCCCGTCCCGCCCTGGGCCAAGCCCAAAGCACAAAGCCAGGCGCCCTGCCCGCAGCTCCCCCTTCCCCGGTCCCCGGGCACGGGGGTCCCCCGGGGCTGCCCGGTGTGCCCCAGCATCGGGGGGTTGGAGGGGACCCCCCCCTCCCCGCATCTCTGGCCCCATAGTTAAAGCCATATCAGTTAGACTGCAATACTTCAGCACCGGGAGGAGCGGGCGCCACGCTCCGCCGACCATGTACAAAGGCACGCGCGGGGCAGGGACCCCCCTGCCTCGTCCCCCCCTGCCCCGTCCCCGCCGTCCCCACCGCTCCCCCGTCCGCGTCTCTCCCCCGCCGGCCCCCCCCCCGCCCGCCCGTGGTGC